TTTGCTATAGTATCGACTAAGTCCCCTTATGGCTGAAATAGTGATCTCCCATGAAAAAAATAACAGGAGTTGTGATTTTATTGCCAGAACTAGCGGGTTCCCAGAAAAATGCGCAAACGAAAAAATTGCGCAATCGGGAAAATGCACAAGCGGAAAAATGCGCAAATCCAAATTTTCATTTTGTGATATTTTTACAAGCTTTTATTTAACTCACTTCCTCGTCAGTCGTCAGTCGCCAGTCGTCAGTCTGTCGTCAGTCTAGACCGAAACGCAGGAGTGAAAATTCGGAAACTTCTACTTGACCGATACGATTCACATTTGACACGTGGGTCAAGACATGAAGACAATGCAATCTGAAACTAAATTTGACTTAATTGGATGCCTAATTAATTTTTTATGAATTAATAAAAATTTGGACCGAATTAGTAGGCATGTCTAGCCAACCACACCACACGCGTCATCACCTTCAATAGCTGCGCCATCACGTAATGGCTGTGTTCAAAAACCATTGCGCGCCTACTGAACGTGATGTTCAGTAGGCGCGCAATGGTTTTTAGTCATGTAACTCTATTGTAAATTAAACATGTAAAGTACTAAAAAAAAATCTCATAAAAAACGTTTTAATAACAAGCTTTTATGTAATGATGCACTAAAAAGTAGAAAATAAATTATACACTATTTAAATTACTATAAAGAAAAGCGTGGGTCTCTTCTCAAATATTAGTAAAGGTATCCAATAGGTACTAAAGTACTAAAGTGACCCACGCTTTTCTTTATAGTAATTTAAATAGTGTATAATTTATTTTCTACTTTTTAGTGCATCATTACATAAAAGCTTGTTATTAAAACGTTTTTTATGAAATTTTTACAAGCTTTTATTTAACTTGCTTCCTCTGTCGTCAGTCTAGACCGAAATGCAGGAGTGAAAATTCGGAATCTTCTACTTGACCGATACGATTCACACTTGGCACGTGGGTCAAGACATGAAGACAATGCAATCTGAAATTAAATTTGACTTAATTGGATGCCTAATTAATTTTTTATGAATTAATAAAAATTTGGACCGAATTAGTAGGCATGTCTAGCCAACCACACCACACGCGTCATCACGTTCAATTGCTGCGCCATCACGGTACGTTCAATAGCTGCGCCATCACGTTCAGTAGGCGCGCAATGGTTTTTAGTCATGTAACTCTATTGTAAATAAAACATGTAAAGTACTGAAAAATAATTCATAAAAAACGTTTTAATAACAAGCTTTTATGTAATAATGCACTAAAAAGTAGAAAATAAATTATAGACTACTATTTAAATTACTATAAAGAAAAGCGTGGGTCTCTTCTCAAATATAAGTAAAGGTATCCAATCGGTACTAAAGTGACCCACGCTTTTCTTTATAGTAATTTAAATAGTAGTCTATAATTTATTTTCTACTTTTTAGTGCATTATTACATAAAAGCTTGTTATTAAAACGTTTTTTATGAATTATTTTGTGGAAAAATGTTATGCTATTGTGTAGGCTTATGCGTGGTCGTTCTTTGCTTACGTCTATAAATGACAGATTTTATTTTTAACTTCCTTGCGCACATTTTTCGTGTTCAATTTTCCGTTGCGCATTTTATTCTGGTTACCTAAATAGTTCTAATTTAGATTATAGCCCTGGTATTACCAGGTGATGCATTACACATCGCATCATGTACTTCATTTCATATCATCTTATCAGGACCAATGGGAAACATATTGTAATTATATACAAGCTTATGAGGGAGGAATATGGGGTGAGCGGGGTTGTTTTGTGAGCTAACACGCATACATTTTTTTATTATGTTAGTTACGTGGAGGGGTGTGTCCGTTCAGTGTTGATAACATATACAGAAATTGTCGCCAGTCTTGTGTCATTTTTATTTTACAAATTAAAACCATGAATCCTATTAAATAAACACATGCTTCGGTATTTATCAACAGCTAGCAAATGACGTCACGCATTTAAAATTAATTTTCACCAACCCCCCTATAGTCACGGCGTCTTAACTAAAACATACCACAACCCCTTAAAATAACGTCATAAAGTTACAGTCTACTACTCCTAACCCCCAAAATCCCAACACAAATGTTCAAGTGTTTTTTTATATAAATTTGTCATTAAAAAATACATATTACTGACCCTTTATGTCACAAATTACATCAAGCTATTATCAGTTAGATGTGTTTTTGTTTGACAAAATGTGTCCCTCCCAAATTGAAAAAATTGTACAAAACAACATATCGTGTATCAATGAAACCATGTAAATTTTGTATGTATGTATGTAAACAATGACTTTGTGTTTGTACACAAATGAATCTGCTTCCTTACGACTATTTATTGACAGCAACTTGTTTTTGTAAATACTTTTTTTGTCAATGTAAATTAGATGTGCAATTTTTCGGGGGTTACATTTCCATTAGCCGTACCTACATATTTTCGTAAAACTAGAATCGACGTCACCGTATAATGCTGTCATCAAACCTATGCTAGCCCCAACACCAAACCTTATCTAAATGTGGTGACGCCCTAACTAAAGACTACCTCTAAATTTAACTTCAAAATTCAATTCTGATGGAGGTCTACGGGCATCGTCAACGATGATACATAATATACAGACAGTGCAACCCTTCCCTCTTCTCTTCCCCCCCCCCCCATTGAACGAAAAGTAATTTATATAGAAATATATAAATTTAACGAATGTCCGCCACCCCCCCCCCCCCCCCCCCTCCTGAGAAAAAAGTCTGGGAAAAAAAACAGTGTATGAAGATATGTGGGTACGGCTAATCAGCAACAACCCTTTTTGTAGTTGGATCATGTTCACTTACATGCAATGCTATTTTCACTTTTGTAAGTTTAAATCGATTCCTCAAATGGAAGTTCACACTGCATATAGTTTTGTTTTGTTTTAATTATTTTTTTTTTGTTTTTTTTATTTAATTTCGGTACTGTTAAAACCGAAATATTTTATTAAGATACGCAACAACACAAACAGGATGAATAATAAAAACACCTGTATTTTACTTTTTCTGTTGTATTGTCTTTTTTTAAGATGTGTGAATGCTGTATTTTTAACTAGCGACATCGATACATACAATCTAGTTCCACGAAAAGCCGTCTGTCAGAACGCTGTTTTCAGAAAGTCGATTCTCAGAATTTCGATTTTCAAAAGTTCGATTTTTTAGAAGGTCGATTACCCTAAAGAACTGAAGAACTAATTTCCGGAAGCTTTGACGCGTACAACGTCCATAGCTATCGATGTTTCAAGCCAATTCATGTAGCTGTAAACTTAAACTACACTGTTCCAGAGGCGTAGCGACCCCTCCCGGCGTCCGGGAACAACTTTGAATTTGGCGCCCCCCCCCCCCCCATATATTTTTTATGTTTATAATTCAAAACTGCAACTAAAATGAGCTTTTAATTTTTTTCCAACTTGCCCGGGGACATATGTATCCCCCCCCCCCCAGTCGCTACGCCTCTGCAATGTTCTATGTCCTGTAACTATAAACTAAGTTGTCACGAATTTCAAATAATCTCGCAAGAAATCTTAGATTGGTTGTGACTATCGTAAAGGGGGGGGGGGGGGTCTATACTTTACTTCTGTGTACCGATTAAGTGACCAGATGTAAACAAATGCGAGACAAAAATCTCACGTGACCGGTGGTTTTCGCACCCTTCTCGCAATTTACCGCCTCGCCATTTCGCGTTTCGCAATTAACCAACACCCCGTTAGCTTATGTCCACTGGAAGCGCAAGTCACGTTTGCTGAGATCTCGGGAATGATATATATCATCCCAGCAGTGGCGTAGCTAGGAGAAGGCGGGTGGGGCGGCTGCACCCTGGCTCCGACCATAAGGGGGCGCAAAGAGGGGTAGAAAAAAAATCTCATTTTAAGCTAGATATTGAATTATACACAGTCAAAGTTAAGAAAGTTAGAGACTTGTAAAAAGTACCAACAATCTTTCAAAATGAGGGTGAGTGGCGTGTTTTCACCAGTTTGATACACTTTATAATATAGGAATGGAAAAGGGGCGCAAGTTTGATAGTTCGCCCCGGGCGCTACGCCTCTGCATCCCAGTCATTCAGATAAATGATTTTATATTTTTTTATCTCATCTGCTGAAGTTGCCCATGCACGTGAAACTTATGACACAAATAACTGTAGTGATGGCGTGATCGAATGGTAGAGCAATCGACTGCTATCCCAAAAGTCTAGAGTCGGGATATCGATACCTGACTCACGTTAGGGAAAGCAAAAGCGGCTGGGCATAGTGCTGACCACACTATCCCTTTATATGACGAGGTCAAGGAAACTGGTGAACTCTACAAAGACCTCTAACAGAGCTACACCAAACAATTGTTTCAATCAGCTGGTGTTTAATTACACATTACACCCCCCCCCCTTTTACCAAACGCTTTGGGAACTGACCTTGACTAAGGCTAAAACTCCATGGCTACCAGTTCCTCGAGTCAAAAGAATTTCTTTCATTCTAAATTTTAAAGTCATCTTTCAATCAAACACAACTTCATGTAAATTCCTTGTCTGGAGTTTGTATCTCTGTGATCAGTTTCTGTAGCGACAAACTCAAAAACTGGATTCATACCACACACTATTAACAAAAAGGGAAAAAAAATATCTTTAAATGTAATTTAATTTTAATATAATAATTCCTGTTTTTTTAAAAAAAAAAAGGCAAACTGAAAAAAACACAAATCAGATAAATAAATTGTATGTACATTTACTAATAAAAATGTATGAAAGTTTTTACAATAAATTATTATAAGCTTTAAATTAATTTAGTAAAAGGGTGTATTTACATATTATATATATTGAATCAAAGCTAAAACAGTGTCAGATTCTCAATGTGTGTTTCAAGACTCAGTTTCAGTTAGTCATAAGGTCCTTATGTGGTTCATTAAAAGTTCATCATTTAACTCTTTAAATTTATTTGTACTTTTTGCAAGCCCCTTGCTCAGCACTACGCAAGGTCCTCATTTGACTTGTTAATTTGTCTCTTTACAAGGTCCTCACTAGACCTTTTGATTTGTACCTTTACAATGTGCTCATTAAACTTTTTAATCAGTCTCACTGCAAGTTCCTTGTTCAGCACTGCACAAGGACAATTAAAAGCTCAACAGATGATTGGTAACATTGATCTAGTTAAATAAAAACTGAACTCAGGTGAACGAATCTACCCACCAGCCTGGGTTAGATTACTGTTACCACCATGACCTTAACCATGACCTTTACCACCATGACCGTTACCACAATGTGTTTGAATTTCACACCATTTCGAAAGTTTGAGAACCTGCACTGTAGCAATATATTTTATCTACAAAGCTGTGGTCATTGTAAAAATGAACTGGGAAAAATGAACACATTGGATCTAATTAGACCCCACACCATTGGATCTAATTAGACCCCCACACCATTGGATCTAATTAGACCCCCACACCATTGGATCTAATTAGACCCCCACACCATGGGATTTAATTAGACCCCACATCTAATTGTAATTAATTAGACCCCCACTCATGTAACAAAAATCATACAAAGTCCAACACACTCAAATCTAATGAATAGAAAATTAACCCTTTATAAATAGTAAAACATTTGAAATGCCCAATGTAAAATTTTAAATTTGTAATGATGACGGAACAAATTAAATTATTTCAGCAAAAGTGAGAACAATATTTTCTGAAATATTTCTTTAACTAGCATAGTTTTACCAACAAACTCAATTATATTCAGAGACATACATGTTCCCATTTGTCAATAAAGGATTATTAAAAAGTTTTTTTTTTCAATTTGGCACAAAATTCATGCAAAACTTAATTAGGCCTACATTTTGTTCTTCAATTTATCAGTGACTGGGTTATCAGTACATGAACTCTATAAAACACACCCAAAAAAATGATGCTATTTAATGGTTTAAATTAGCTCATTATTTACAAGTCATGTCATGGCCAGCAACTGTTGCTTTCAATAATGCCATGTTAATATTTATATGCATACTTGCCAGACTGAACTATAAAAAAATATTGCTGACCAATTTTACTGAAATATGGACATATGTGCAAATAATCAACATAATTAAATATTTTATTAAAAAATAAATACCTAAGAATCTAATTTAATAGGTGAAAATAGTTTCCATTATTTAAAAATTGACAACTGGAAAGTTAATGTAAGAAATATTTGTAATACTGTTAGTAAATGTTAATTATTTACAATTTTTTTTTTACATGTTAATGCTTTAGTAACCAGAGTTATCTCTCTTTTTATAACCCAAGTTGGTGTACCTTAAAAAAATGGATGAAGAACCTGTAAATTATATCAAACTGTTTACACCCGAATTTCTCTGAGAAAAAGCTTTGAACTTTAAAAAAAAACAATGAGGAAAAAAAAATTGTAAACATTTCAAAATGCCATGTTTTTTTAATATAACGCAGAATACATTTAAAGTGATAATTCAAGTTCATAACACCATAAAAATATAGATGTGACCATATATAATTGTTTGTTTTATAACAGTGTTGGAGATCTTTTGTCCTGAATAATGTTCCAAATATATTGGTGTGGTTAAAAAAAAAAAAAAAAAAAAAAAAAAAAAAAAAAAAAAAAAAAAAAAAGTGTGGTAAGATAATTTTAAATGTACCTGGAATTGTGCTCTTCAGGTTTTGAGATTATCGAGTTATTTACCTTGATGAATTAAAAAGACAGAATAATATTGTATACTTTGATGAGGCGGGTGATTTAGTCTTTATGAATTCAACACAGAATGTGAATTATTTTCTTCAACTTGAAAGAGAATGTATTGTGATGAACTAAAGTCAGAATGTGAACTGTTTACTTTGGCGAGGTGGAGGATTTGGAGTCCCTGGTAAAAAAAGACATGGGTGAGTGGGTTAGTCTAGACAGGAAAGATTGACCTTTCTTGACCGATGGCTCTTTGCTTGCTGATGGCGGACTCTCCTTGCTGGTGGTCAGGGGAAGTAAGTCTGGAGTGGGGTGGGGGACTTGGTCATGCGGTGATTCAGAGCAGCTTGGCGAGTTACCATAGCGACACCCATTGGAGCTTAAGCTAATGGATGAAGGAGACTGGCGGGTTGAGCTAGCATCACAGCTGTTTCTAGCTGGATGCAGTTCGCTTCTTCTGTGGGATCCGGGAATAAAAGTCGAATCAATCCCTAACGGATTAGGGGATTTTCGGATATGCTCATGGTACGACATGTGCCTGGATTCCTTTCTACCGTGGTGCCGGTGATTATTATCCACATGCGGATGCGACAGCGGCCGGCTTGGAAAGTACGGCACATACGCCGGATCAAAAGTACCACCCACTGCAGCCTCGTCCTCATTCCTAGTGCACTGCGGCTGAAACGTCTTGTGGTCAGGGGTTCTCAAAATAACTCCATCCTGCTTGGATTTCCTGCTGTGCTTGTTCGGATAGGGCTCAGCTCCATTGAAGGTTTCAATGATGGTCGTGGAGGTCGGGCTCTCCCTGCAGTCCGCCTTCCTTGGCTTGTTGATGTTCACCAGGACCTTGTTCCGGCTTCTCTTCTCCGGGGCAGCTCTCAACACAACCTGTTCGTTCTTTAGAGTCCCTTGGCTATCTGATTCCGAGGGCACCAAAGTTCCACTGTCTGAGCTTTTGTTAGCTAAGGTGTAATCGTTGTATGGGAGGATGGAGAAAAAGTCCATGGGGGAACTTGTTCTGGGGTCTTTGTGTCTTGCTGGCTCGGCCAACATGTCATTGCTAGTTCTACTTGGGTATGATCCTGGTCGCATCTGTTGTCCGTTAAAACTGTGACCATTCACTGTTGGAAAATTGCAGTTTTTGTGTATGTTAAGCATTGGAGTACAAGAAATTTCAGTGCTTTGTGTGTTTTTGCTGGTCAGCTGATTAGGTTGAACTTGATGGAAAGTGGTCATGTTTTTCTGTGACCTTTCACCTTCCAGGGAGGTGGCCTTGAGCTGAGTCTCCCCAGAACTTGACCCCACGTTGCATCCAGGCATGTAAGACTTCTTAGGCTTGTAGCTGCTGCTCTCATCATAAGCCCCATCGTTGCAAGAAGAAGAAGATGCTGGGCATTTGACTGAGGTCTCCTGGTGCTTCAAACTATCTAACTTCATGGCTGTGCTGCTCACCCTACCTTGACTTGCTGAATTAGTTGGAGAATTTCCCTGGCTGTTGACGTAGCTGGATGTTAAATTTTGAACATCACACGGGCTGGGTGATGACACGGATTGCTGTCTAAAATCATTTCTTCTAGTGCATTCTGGGATATTTCTTTCACAGTTGTCCCTACTTTTGTTTTCTGACTGCGCACCAGTAAACATTGCTTGACCAGATTGGGCGCCACTTTTTAAAAACCCAGATTTTGCTTCACCAAAATGTGTGCCGAATGAATTTAAATGTCCTCTATCGCCTGATGCCTGGCTTGGTTTAGATCCCACACCAGAGATGAAACACTGGGCGACTGTGTTACTCTGTGGAAATTGTCTCCTCTTGTCCGAGTCGTCTTTTGAAGACAGTGTTATAACGGCCATGTTGGGTTGCATCATGAGGTAGGGTTGGTTGCCATCCACGCTGTCACACGACGGTGTTCTCATAGACAGCAGGCAGTTGCCTCGTTCTGGTTCAGACCTCTTCAGATTGAGGCTGACTTTAGCCTCATCATCATAATACAACCTGTAACGGTGCTCAAAGTCTTTGTCTTCTAGAACATAAGCTGGTGATGCAGATGCCATTTTATCCATATCTTTGTTTTCAAGCACAATTTGGTTTCTTGGCTTGATAAAAAATCTGTTAGCTTTGGTCTTTTCTTTTCTTACAGGCATGTCAAAATTCTCCCCAGTATACAAAATGCCGGAGTTATCCCAAGAAGTAAAACTTTTATTTTTATCTTTACAAGAATCAGAGCTCTGATCTGAAGAACAAGAGGTTTGGGAGATGTTCAAAATTTGACTGCTGGGACTGCTTGCAGTTTGTTTACCATCATATTTAGATTGGTCACTGGCTTGGTTAGGGTCAGGCCTTTTGTTGGAAGCTGATGGGAAAAGCTTTAAAAAACTTTTAGAAAGTTTATTTTCTGAATTTGCGTGTGTTTTTAGTACATCATTATAACTCTTATTTACTTGACTTGATGAACTGTGATGGTCTGTCGGTGGTGACGACTTCATACTTTTCTTACAATTTTTCTTGTGGGAAATAAAATTATGCTGCTGTTTATAAGGATGGTTTTGGTCAAAGTTCATCAGACTTCCTCGCAACTGGGACTGTTTGTCTAGTTTTTTATTTCCATCAGCGGGAGAGCTGGGTGAGGATTTTTTACTGTTGGACTCAAACAGAAATATAGCATCTGAACAGGGTTTTAGAGAATCCAAAACGTTGTAGCCGTCTGGGTCTGTGTTGGGGCATGGGATGACTTTCTCTGTCAGTAGGGCTTTCTTCTGGTCGTCGTCCAGGTTCTGTAGGATGGCCTTGTGTTGGGATTCTCCTTTAGACAACACCACCTCCCCCTCGCACTCCTCCTTACACAACTCACCGCAGCGACATCCCACAACCCTCCAGTTGCCAAGGTCAAGGCTGGTCCGCAAACCCACAGCGACCTCACTGTCACTGGCGCAGCCTGATTTGAGGGTTTCTTTCCTGCACATCTGACACTTGTAACACAAAGCCAAAGGTTTAGTTGTATGGGGCGGGTGTTGATTGGGCTCCCCCACACTGTGACGATGGTGGCATAACTTATCCTTCATGAACTTCCTCACAAATAAAGTTGACGATTCTTCAAGACTCCCATTACTAAAACTATCATTTTCTGATTTGCTCATCACTTGTTTGAATAACGGTTGTGAATTTGTAAGAAAGCGTTCATTCTCTTTCATAGAAATATTGACTTTACTCAAATCAGACCTGCAGTTATTTACAACATTTCCTGAACGCGTCTCCAGTTTTTTATCGATTTCTTTGTTCTCCACTCCTGGTGAATGAGTTCCCCTGCCATTTTTCTCTAAGAAGCTCTTCTGATTTGAAGTGTTCAAAATATCCAAACTAGCTGCTGAAGCTAGACCATTACTGTTAGAAGTTGAATGTTCACCATTTTTGTTGCTGTGATCCACAGGTTTAATCTCCATCCCTGAAGTTGAAGACTTCTCCAGGCTGTCCTGGAAATGTTGAAATTCTTCACTACTCAGCTCACGGCAGTCCTTACTATGTGATACCTGCCTTGCTTTATTCTTCATCTGTCTGTGAAACAGCTTCGAGACTTTAACAGGGCTGTAGGTGCTGTTGCCTTGGTCCCGGCGTGTCTTGATTTCAAAAGCGAGGCCGTCTGTAACATCGTCTTTAGGACAGCCATCGTTACCTTTGAGGTTGCGGGGCATGTTGGCTGGTGGTGATGATGAAGCTGTCATGGTGGACAGTGTTGTGGTGGATGCGGCGGTGGTGGCTGCGGCTGCCATCTCCATCACAACTTCTCTCTCTACATCAGCCAAGATGACTCTCCCTCTGAAAAAAACACATTTTTTTAATTAGTAAATAAACTACTACTCCTTTACAAATAAAAGCAAAACTTATGTGCTGTATGCTTATTATTACCACATTACCATATTGTCTGTAACACTGGCCATAACCTGATCCTTAAACTGTTGACAACCAAAAACTAGTCATTTTCTTATGTAGAGCCTACTTTTTTATTATGGGGCACCAGACCATCATTGATTATCATTTATAGTTTATCCTAAAGCATTCCAATACTTTCAAATTACGTAATTATTACTGTGCTTACTTAGGACTATCATGAGTTTTGGTTGTTAATGTTAACGGACAGGGAAAATTAAATATGTATTAGTAGATATGTATTCTAAAGCTGGCAATTAATCCTGACTAACAAGACAAGCAGAACCCAGCTCTCTATTTCTTAGCTGGTCATCAAATACAGAAAATCAGTTGTTTTTTTTAATTCAAGACAAAAACACAGAAAATTAGTTTAAAAACTACATTAGATTAAATCTAACATTTTTATGTTTAAGAATTTCAAGAGAAATTATTTATTGAGAATCTAAACAACCTTGAAACTTTATTAAGTTAAATTTTGAATGCTAAGCAAAGAAATCTTGATGAGGTACATTTTATTTAATCTTTGTTGAAGCAGTGTATCATTCAGCTGCCAGTTATAATTATTTTTAAACCAGATAGACCCAAAAAACCTGGGAGATGTAAATACCCAACACAACATTGCCAGATTGAGCACCTGATAAAAGAAGGTATTTAAGAAGCCTATGAGAAAGAAGAGACTGCCTAAAGTTTCAAATATGCACAAGAAATAAGAGTTCAAATAATTTGGTTTTGTTTATTTATTATTGACTTCAGAAATTTGAAAAGAAACTTTTTTTGCCAGTAATACAAATTATGGTCAAAGCGTGATTGATTTCCATGATTTACACACTAATTTTGTTGTTACTTAGCAAGCCAAACTTTATTTTTTATTGATTACAAAATCTAAAAATGGATTCTTTTTTTTTTTTGGAGTTTTTTTTTTATTTTTTGTGGGATGAAGATTTAAATTAGTATACAAGGAAAATTGGTCATTCTGAAAACCATGCTATCTGGAATGTACTTCAGTTGTACCATGCCAGTTAAAACAGAAATGTTCATGCCAAATAACTTTTATTTAAATAATTAGTAAAATTAGTTAATCTAAGAAACAAATTAAAATTTCTGACTTCATTTGTGAACAAAATGTTTCTGTTCATTGGCCATATTAATTTATTATAATCTAGCTGTGTGTGTACAATACTAATCTTTAACCCTTGGATTCAAGGCTAAGTTTCAGATTATGAAAAAAAAATATGGTCAGGGCTTGGTATTAGGATGAGTTTTTGTAGTTAAAGAAACACAATATGTGACATGTCAATCATATATAAATATTGCTAATTCACAAATTAAAACAAAATAATGTTTTAAGAAGAAATTTAGTAAGTAAATATATTGCCAAACATTACCTAGGTGATACCACACACACGATGCTCATACATCAGATTCTGTAAGTCTGGGAAGTAGAAGGTTAAAACATGACTCCATGCTGCTATAGTTTTATGCAGGCGGTTAGAGAGACTATCATAAATAAATGCTTGTCGACTGACATTCTTTTCAGGGTAGGTTGTTAAGGCAGAGAGAACATGTATCATTATTAGGGCTCATTTTTTTTTAACTAGGTAAAGAAAATAGATCTTTAACAAATATAAATTCACATAATTTGAATACTAACTAAAATTATTAATAATCAGTGATATTCATAAATATTTTAAAAGCAAATACACCATTGACCTACAAATGCAAAGTGCTTGAAAAATCAGTAAAAAAAAAAATTTTAAATAATTTGTATGCTTTTAAACTGAAGATGTTTAAGACATAAATTATTTTTTAAGCACAACAAACTTTTTCATACAGCAGGCTAGAATGTAGAATTATTTCTAAGTTAAAATAATTCAATTTCATCATTAAATCAAAATGAGTAACAGCTTTCTTTTCTTTTATTAATTTGAATTTATCAATTGATGAGTTGAATAAATATGGAAGAGAAAAACAAGAACCAGAACTCATGCAAATCATGCAACTCATAAAAGTTGGTGACAACACTGTATACTTGAAAGCCAATGTAGTAATTTTAGTATCTTGATTTTATGTTTATATTTATCAAATTTGAGAGAGTAACAATAGAATATTAGGTAGTGCTAAGTGTATGTTATGTCATTTATTCACAAAAATTATGGCATTTTCTTCTCTTAAACTTATCAGCATTAGTTATCTTTACTTTATTAATTTTTTTAATTACTGTACTGTACTAACAGGAATATCAGGATGTTTTAAATCTCTTAGAAAAATAAATAAGCACAATTATTTTAAATAACTTAGTTAGCAATCATAAATATTCCAATATGGTACATGGTTACAGATTATAATGTTAAGTAAATATGTTTTAATAAATTGGTGGAAGGTTATGTCAAAATGGTTGTTTGGTTTCCATAAAAGGGGTTGTCCATAGATGGCATCACACTTCTGAGTGTGGGTGAGGGTTCAGATTTTTGTGATTGTATGATCGCAATTGAGAAAAAAAAAAGGGGGGAGGGGGTTAGGGTCAGAACATGTGATGTCACACTCTTGCATTTTAAAAATAATTTTAGAACTGAATTTCACTGTTATTTTTCATTTTTTTTGTAAATTGTTATAACTACACCTAATTCTGACACCCAACCCCCCCCCCCCCCCCCCCCCCCCCCCCCCCAAGTTAATATTTTAAACAGAATTTCCTGTTTTAAAAAGGAAATTGAAAATCTCATAGAGTAGAGTAGGTTAAAGTGTGATGTCCTTTTAGGAAGTGAGATTTTTTCCCTTTTTGTGAAAATAAGTGATGGTAAAAATAGCTTTTAAAAAACATGACATCATTTATGAACAACACCCCAAAACAAACCAAAAACATATGCCAGTAAATGGTTTAGTATAATGGTAAAAGGAAAACAACACAAGGAATAAAGCTATAAGTGCTAGAATTGAGAAGGAATTTTCATATTCATCCTTCTTGGGTGTTTTTACTCTAAATTTGTAAAAGTAAGGAGATATGTCTTCAGATTAAGTATTTTTTTTTTGTTACCTGGTACCAAAAGCATTTAGTGTTTACTGAATGAGAGTAAATAAAGAGAATTATACAGTTGTTATTCAAGTTTTGGGTCCTGACTTCTCTTGTATTACTGAAATATGTTTTTTAATCATCACAGCATATTCAATTCATTGAACAGGGGGTGGAGGTGTTAAAAGCGACAATTATTTATTTATATAATCTAAAACACATAGTGACGATTTACTGAAACTTTGAACACAAGAGAAGTCTGAATTATGTTTTAGAATCTTACACTGCTTGTTGATCAGCTGTTTCAAATCATTTGAAAAAAAAAAGTATCATTTTATTAGCGAATGTATAGCTTTAGAAAAGAACGCCACAGAGAAAGCAAAGTAACAGGTGCAATATTTACATAATGTTCAATATATAATTATGTCTTTTAAATCTAAAATGCTCTCAAATATGCCATTTTGCAACATGCATCAATAAAAGCAATATAAAACATAAAATGTAAATGTGTTACAAAACAATAAATTTTTAAAATGAACAGCACAGACTAAGGGCAACAATAGATGTAATGAATTCTAGTACACCAGACAATATTTTAGGACCAAATAGACCAGTGGTTCCCAACCTTTTTCGACTGGCGACCCCCTTTCATAAAACTTAAGTGACCCGCGACCCCCATATAATTAACAAGTTGAAATTAGTAAAGAAAATAATAAGCACTAAATTAATATTTTCTAGTAGACTTTCAATATGGATTATTCTTGATAACTGTTTTAATACGATGAGCAAAATTACATTTACACAAGCATTAACTAGCATTAACAATTAAATTTCGCAAATTTAAGAATTCATCTTGTTATTCATCGGCAATGCTGATAACATCAAGGAAAACAGAGAATAGGTGACAATGCAGATTCTTCTTCTTTCAGCTCGGGGAAAATAACGCCGCAGTTCGTTGTCAAGAGATTCAAGATGTCCAGAATCCTTTCGAAATTTTATCTATCACACCACACTGCAGAGTTTCTCAAACATGACAGTATTTAAAATATTTATTTGTCCTTGCCAATTTTGCAGCTTTGATAAAAATGCCAAGAGATTATCATGAAAAGAGATAATATTCGTTCCTTTATCAAGTTGAGCTTATGTTGATGTTCGAATATATCTGCTAGTTTTGATACTCTCTCCAACCACACCATGTCGTTAAAGTATATCAAAAGGTCTTGTTTCCTTGCACTTCCAAGAACATCTTGATTTCATCTTTCAGTTCAAAAACACGATTGACATTTCCTATTGACAGTCTGCGTACTGAAGTGTAGAATCTCGTGATCTTTATTTATGTCTTTGCACAGTTCTTGAAACAGACAGGTGTTTAGGGCTCCAGATTTAATATGATTTGCGACTTTTATTAGCAATAAAGTCGGATAAGTGTTGCTGGCGAGAGCATATGTGAATTATGCAGTGGATTCCCTTTCATTAGGGAGCTAAATCTTTTACCTTTTACTTTTTTCTGAAACCCCCATTTTGACCCAAATATGAAGCACCATCCGTACAAACCCCACAGCCGTTTTCCCATTTTAATCCTCCAGTTTAAAAAAAACGTATTTATTTTCTCCATTATATCTTCACAAAACATCAACTCTTATTTGCTAACATCTGAATGAATATATTTCACAAAGACAAGCAACTGCGAACACGAACTCACGTCTGTCGATTCGTCAACTTGAAAATCAAACAATGGTGAAAGCTTGATTTCATTCTAAATTTGTCTTTTAACATAAGCCGCTGCATAGTATTATTAGACAGAGATATTTGTTGCATCTTTACTGCACTGGAATCCCCAAGAATTAATTTTACCATCTTCAGCATACATGGTTTGATGAGATTTTCTCCTTTGTGTGAGAGGTTTTTTGCTTGGCAATTTCTAATACTACTTCATACGATGCTTGCAGTAATGCTGTGCTTTCTTGGTGAAAACGTTCTGTTCAATCAAGTCTCTGACGTTTGCAACTAGCTTCATGCCGACGAAAGAACTACATATCTTTTTTGGTGTGTTCCGAATGACTCGTCTCAAATTGACGTTTGGAAGTTTTCATAGACTCCTGACTAAGAACAACTTTGCACAGTACAAATTGTTTATTCTCTATTCCATTTTAAGTGATGTTAGTAGTGCCGACTTTCAAATATTTTTCTAAATATTTTTTTTTTTTATTCATTGCTAGAGTTTAGTCTACCAGTTGGCGACCCCCCAGAAAGCCCTTCGCGACCCCCAAGGGGGTCGCGACCCCCAGGTTGGGAACCCATGAAATAGACAGTTGGGTACATTTTGAATTATTTATTTTTTAAATTTATTGAAGATAAACTCCTGCAAAATGACAGCTTGTTTTACCATCACAAAAAAGATGACAATAAAAACAGAAAGCTTTAAAAAGCAAAGCTTAAACTTTGGATTTGGTCACAAATTTAAAAATGGATGCTGGCAACATACCATACCAAGTTGGTGTAGCTAAATTTGAAACTTTCTGCAAAGTAGTCTAGAATGATTTTTATTGATATAAAAGAAAAATAGAAATGTGGAGCTCTAGAAATAGGCCTATAGATTATATAAGTACTTAAATATAATTTTTTCGACTTACTTCTTTTTGGTGAAAAGGTTTTTTATAGATGCTTTTAAATGCATTTTCTTCCTTGCACCAACTGGGTCGTCGCTAGCTTTAGGAAGGTCATGTGATGGGTTAAATCTCCCGCCATCTTTAGACTTTTTCCTCTCGTCTCTTTTCCCATCATCGTAATACACTGGGAAATCATTCTTATCCGTGTAAGTGTCAATGCGATCACTATTTTGGCTTTGTTTGGCCTCAGAATGGCCAGAGTCCCCTGGCATTTTAGTGTGAGCTGCCAGGTTGGATGATGAGAAAAAAGGATTGTTTCTGCTGTTGAAATGGGAGTTGTCAGCGGGGGCGGAGAAGGTGCTGATGCTCCTGGTCACACTGTCTTGAGAGTAGACTGGGGACTTTGGCTGGCTTAAGCCGTGCACCGTTGCTGAGTGCGAGATGGCTCTTTGATACTTGTTAGCTGGTGAGACCTTGGGTGCATCAGCTGCAGTAGACGAGCTGTCAGTTTTACTTAACCTTAACGGAAGCGGCTGTGACAATCTGTTTGCAGCGTAGGAAGATGGCGCCACGCTACTTTTGGGTGTTCCTGTGCCGTTTAAATGAACCGAAGATTCCAGAAACCCACTTAATGTTTTTGTTGTGCGGGGAGGAGGCAGTGGTGCTGTTTTAATGCTGGGAGAATTTCTGTTTGTTTCGGGGTTTGTGTTGACATCCGAGGCACTTTTCCTCATGCTGTTCCTAGCGCTGTTCTCCCCGGGCGCCACCGAGGCCAAAGACAACAAGAACTGCCTGTTTTTCTCAGACAAGTCCTGGCCTTCGTGTCTCGAGTCTTGCTGTGAAACAACTTCCTTCTCATTTCTCGTTGCATCAGACGACGACGGCTGGACAAAATTAATCTTGGCCTTGTCGATCTGAAAAACTTTTGGACCCGACAGATTAGATTCTTGTGGTTTAGCAGCCATCTGGACAACATTACAGTTTCCGTCAGTGTTAGTGACGTCACTGATTGCCGCTAATATTTCAGGAGTGTTGTGGACGACAACTCCACTCTGGTCTGGCTGAGTTACCTGCTCATTCATGACTAGCAAGTCGCATGTTGTTGAATTACTTGATACCATCAGCTGTGAACTGGAACTCGGGTCCTCGTCTAGTGGACTTAACGGCTTCGGCACATCCTGGGGTAAATTTTCCCCTAAAGGAATAGGTTTCAGCATGCCGTTCCCTTGATTTGATGTGTACAGTTTTTTAGCCAGACTGGCAGTGACGTCGGCAGCGCTGAATTCTACCGGCCTGTTTATATCCTGCGAGTGCCTGTGGATTCGCAACCCGTGACTGTCGAAGCTGGCTTGAATGATATCAAGGTCAAGGTCCTGACCATCGTTAGAACAGCGGCTGCTGCTGTGCTGGTGCGAGCCGCTGGTGCCCAGAGAATGTGTGTCACTGGTGCGGGTGTCATCTTCCTCGTCGTCTGCATCATCGATGAGGGCAGATGAAGGGTACATGGAAGGACGCGTGGGCAGCAAGTCGTGGGCAGAGAGTGGTCCCCTGGCGTGCCCAGTTCGGGATTGCATTGCTGACTCAGGCCAGAAAGATTTATTTCCAGATCTGAAAAATAGTTTAGACCTTATTGAGTTTAACTTTCAACTACCAACATTTTTAACTACACTAGACACTACAATGTGATTGGGTAACTAAATTTTATCACAGTATTCAGTCTATTTCATTAATTATTTCCTTGATATTTATCATGTAAATTTGTTTATACTCAGTATATTATAAAGTGAAGCCATTCATTTATAAAATCAAACAACACAATTATTTATATTTTATGTAGTATTACATAATTATCAATTCAGGATGTAGAAATTCCTTAAGTGATCAAATGTTATAAAATAACATGTTGATCAATTATTCTTTCAAGACAATTATATGAAAAACTTGAGATGGTTAAAATCAAACTGGCATATTTTTTATAGTTTTTTTTTATATGAAAATGTATGTGGGCTTAAAATTAAATTATTCAAACTGTTAAAAAAATCAAATTGTTTTTTTCTGCTTAAAATATTTAAATATATTATAATTTCAACAAATATTTGGGTATTTCCTGTTAGGCCAGTGAAATAGTAATAACTAAAGCAATTTTATATTTTGATTCAGTATTGCCAATAATAATGTCAAACTGAACAAAAGCCTAAACTTAACCCTAATCCTAAAAGAAACATAAGCTTGAAGCAAAGCTCAAGTTTCTCTTTAAGTCCAATGTCCAGTCTGCTACACAAAACAAGTTTTCCTCTAAGCCCAAAATCTAGTCTAGTACACAAGTTTTTCTACAAGCCCAATATCTGGTCTGCTACACAAAACAAGTTTCTCTAAGCCCAACATCTAGTCTACTACACAAGTTTTTCTCTAAGCCCAACATCTAATCTAGTACACAAGTTTTTCTCTAAGCCCAACATCTGATCTACTACATACATAAGAGGCTGTGACCTCCTGAGATGCTTCCTACTGATGATGGTTGGCCTGTGCTGGGCTTCCAGCGCGTTTGGCCCAAAAGCTGAGTGTGGACGTGGCAGTGGACCGGGGTACTGGTACGGCCGCTGTTGTAGCTCCCTGTGGTGGAGGTACTGCTGCTGCTGCTGGGAGTGGGTGATGAAGTCGATGGCTGAAGACGGGCGCATGCGCGGGGAGTGGGAGCCGAGGAGGTAGTCCTGGGACTGGGTGCGGCCGGCGGGGGACAGGTGTCTTTTCTTGACCTGTGGGAGAGGAGGGAAAGAATAGAGTAAAGGAATAATATAAATACAACTGCTACAACTGGAATACAACTGTATTAACATAAATGCTCATTTTTAGATCGAATTGTAAATGTATCAAAGCCACTTGTAATAAAAAATAAAATACAGTTGTGAGTTCTACATATATTCATTTAGTAATAATGATTAGCTAAATTATTTTGCAAGGGAATCTTCAAATTACTTAGTTTCATTAAGCTGTATTAAATTTCTTCCTTAATTATTTTTTTTGCAGTCTTTGATTCAAAAACCATCTAGAGTTCTTCATTGGTTATTCATGTGGTAATTCAATATCAAAATTTTGAATTGCTATAAATTGAGAAAATGGAATTTTTCTTTTAAGTTTGAATCCAAATTAAACTAAATTATTTTCTTTGGTTGGTTTTTTTATTTTATTTTGTATTGTTATGTTGGACAGCATTTCCTCCAATACAATTATGTATTACGTGTCAGCATATTATGTTTCATATGGCTTGTTGAATCAATTGTCATCCTGCTTTTATCTCTGAGTTTGCCTCTATAGCTTTTGTACATCTAAGAACAAACTACAAGGCAGCAGTTGTTTGAGTTTGGAGTTTTCTCCCCTAGATGGGTTACTGCTCCCAGCTAACTAGCCTCATCTGCCTGAGGTTTGATCTCCAGTCTTCTGGAATAAGCCCAACTACACCATACCCTACTCTTTGTTTATTTCTGTTCTTTTTATACTTCTAATTTTGTCGTAACGTTGAGTAAAAAAATTTACTTTAAAATGCTTGTATGATCTTTCTCTGAGAATCCCCTCGCTTCCATTGGTAGGAAGTGTGGACTGGCTCCGTGGCAAATAACTGGCCAGCTGGGACTCTGGAGAGAAACCATTCATGGTGGTCAGGTCAGGCTGACTCAGGGCACTCTGGCGGGTGGTCAGCGGCCTGACAAGATCATGTCTCCCAAAGTCATCTGACTGATGGAGGTGACTGCCGTAAGGTCTGTCCAACCATTCAGGCAAGACTTGACTGAAAGTTTAAAAAAAACAGGGAAAATTCTGTCATTAATTAGTAAACTCATTAAAAATTTTAAGGTGTACTCTTTAACTTTAGGATGTCTGGCCATTTATTTTCTTATAACAGGTTTAAAGCAGCCATGACCATGAGATAGTTATGCATCAAAGGATTCTAATTACAAACAGTAATAGTATACATTTGTTTCCTTTAACATCACCATATATTGTTTACAAAAAAAAATGTTTAATAACTCAATCATTCTTTCATCCAATTAAATGTCATAATTCTTACAAGAGATTTCTTAAATACTAAGAAGAAAAAAATATTATTTTAAAAAATGTGTCAAATATAGGCTACACGTGAAGGTCACCTAAAGTAACATAATTTTCAAAATAGCTAACAAGAAGTTTAGTTTTTATTTTTGTCAGATATTTGAGACACAGGTGAAAAGCTCTTTTTTCCCTAACCTCTGACCTCATTAAAATAATGAGCAACAAACCTGTGGTCAGTTTTAGAGAAAGCTCTGGCCGATGTTATGTTGTCCTCTTCTGTGGAGTTTGAATGGACCCCACTGTCCCTTGTGCTCAGCATCTGACCGCTGTCAATGTTCACCCTACGGAAATTGTTGTAAGCTTCATGGTATAACACACAAAATATTATACATCTTTGACAATATGTACAGAATATTGTATGTCTTTGACAATATGTACAGAATATTGTATGTCTTTGACAATATGTACAGAATATTGTACGTCTTTGACAATATGTACAGAATATTGTATGTCTTTGACAATATGTACAGAATATTGTATGTCTTTGACAATATGTACAGAATATTGTATGTCTTTGACAATATGTACAGAATATTGTATGTCTTTGACAATATGTACAGAATATTGTATGTCTTTGACAATATGTACAGAATATTGTATGTCTTTGACAATATGTACAGAATGGTGTATGTCTTTGACAATATGTACAGAATATTGTATGTCTTTGACAATATGTACAGAATATTGTATGTCTTTGACAATATGTACAGAATATTGTTGTATGTCTTTGACAATATGTACAGAATATTGTATGTCTTTACACACAAAATATTGTACATCTCTAACACTAGACACAAAGTATTGTGTATCTTTGATACTATGTAGAAAATATTGTATGTTTTTGACACTACACAAAATATTGTAGCCATTGCTACAACTAAATTAAAACATCAAACAGTACTGTCCAGAAGGGAGCAGGATATTTTTACCATACTGGTCATTCTTCCTTCCCCCCCCCCCCCCCATGACAAAGACTGGTTTGAGTGGGACTCATGTCTGGAGGTCACTCCATTGTTAACTCAGCAGTGTGCAGTACCCAACCAAAGTGGAGTTGGCTCAGGATTGTACTGACCACCCATTCCTCTCATTTTCTAGAGTGACAGCTTGACTCTACCTCCACTACTCTAGTGGGTACCATATCTTGAAAGTGAACATTACTGTTTAAATTGGTACTTTTTTTTTTTTTTTAAATTGTACCACTTTAATAGTGGTGAGCCTATAATAATTATTAAACACCATTTGTACTTTAATATAAGGTGAAAACAAGACAAATATTGACTTTGATAAAGTTAGCTCCCAAGACACATGGGGAAGTAGATTTTATCTGTTTCAATTATCTCTGCATATGGAGGATAGTATACTCAGCACTATGCCCAGTTGCCTTTGTTACCAAAGTACTCTTCAGAGTGGGGGGGGGGGGGGGGGCCTCTGTGATTTCTTACAGACTTGAGACTTTAAGGTTAGTATTCGTTAACTTTTAAGTTAGTATTCGTTAACTTTTAAGTTAGTATTCGTTAACTTTTAAGTTAGTAGCCGTAAGCTCTACCATCCAACCACACCATCCCTTACCTGAGTATGTGGTCCTGGGACAAGGTCTGCATGGCACTGGACACGTCTTTGTTCAACTGGTCAACAAACCCCCGCAGCCGTTGTAGTGAGGTTTGTAGCAGCGGGTAGTCTGGGTGTGCTGGTGGTGTGTGGCGCACAACTTGCTGTGGATGTTGTGTTAGCAGTTTTAAAATTTTGCAAGATCTAACTTGTTTAAAAATTATGTTAAGACATTAAATGTTAATTCAAAAATTTTTACCAACAATACGATTCACAATTTTAAAAAATGGTATAATGCTTTTCCAATTTGTTAAACATCCTAAAAAAAATTCTTCTACAACTCTTTATTCAACTATTATAAAAAACAGGATTATCATAAAATAAATCATAAATATATTTCACCTGAAGTTGGAGAAGAAATCTGGGCACATGTTGAACTGGCGCCATGATTAGAGACATTAGTTCTTCACTTTGGCAACTGCTGTGCTTAATTGCCTAAATTTTAAAAAGAACAATGTTATGTACTCGGACAAATACTTATGTACTTGTATTTATATCATTGGCTAAACGACCACACCACCCATACATTACCACACTTTACCTCCTTGACCACACCCCATAACCACACTAAATGACCACACCACATAACCACACTAAATGACCACACCACATAACCACACTAAATGACCACACCACATAACCACACTAAATGACCACACCACATAACCACACTAAATGACCACACCACATAACCACACTAAATGACCACACCACATAACCACACTAAATGACCACACCACATAACCACACTAAATGACCACACCACATAACCACACTAAATGACCACATCACATAACCACACTAAATGACCACACCACATAACCACACTAAATGACCACACCACATAACCACACTAAATGACCACACCACATAACCACACTAAATGACCACACCACATAACCACACTAAATGACCACACCACATAACCACACTAAATGACCACACCACATAACCACACTAAATGACCACACCACATAACCACACTAAATGACCACACCACATAACCACACTAAATGACCACACCACATAACCACACTAAATGACCACACCACATAACCACACAAATGACCACACTAAATGACCACACAAATGACCATATGACCACACCCCAAGACCACAGGTAAGCATACCTTGAGAAAATCTTTGAACTCAGCTGACTGTATCAAGGCTCTCCTCAGACAGGTGACTGCTGTGGGCAAGTCTTCAGCGTACTCTTGGTACAGTTGTAGGAACGAATCCTAACCAAGGTGAAAGAATAATAGTTCAGATTTCAAGTTAGATTGTAAAACAAAGTGTCACTTACATTGTTAGAGATTAGAAAAATTCATCTAGAACTAAATTCTGATGTACTGTAAACTACTTGCCATGATATTTAAAAATTTAAAATAAATATTTCTCCGCTATAATGTCCATAAATGTTTTGTCATGACAATTATTTTAAAAATCTTACTGAACTGTTGGCTATACAATAATGTAGGGTATTATGTTTTACGGAGCTATTCCCCTTTATTTTAATTCCTTTTTATATATTATCTCCCTTTAGTTTTTCTTAGATCTGTAAACTTAAAACTTTTCTTTATTAAAAAGTTAAGTCGATGTTTGAGACAAGACTTACAGCACTATACGAGTCCGTCACCCTAGCCAACAGATCCGCTAAGGTCCCATACTATATCAAATCTTATCTCTACTTCAAGTATTCAATTAAGGACTAAAGCACTGTATAAGACAAGATTTACACCACTAGAGAAGACTTACAGCACTATACGAGTCCGTCACCCTCGCCAACAGATCCGCTATGGTCCCCATGTACGTCCAGTGCACCAGCCTCTCCTGCAGACCGGTGCAGATGTGACAGTGCTCTGCGTACAGCTGCTCCAGGTACGGGGGAAACAGTACGTCCAGCTCCCTGTTGCTGAAAAACCCACCAGACTGCAGGGGGGTGAAGTACGTGTGGAGCAGGGACCACAGTTTGGAGCAATAGTCACGTTCAGAGTCGGCCAGCTCCTGCACAGCTTTCTGGCGTTTGGCTGCAAAGGTAAATATCATTCAATAATATTCTGAGTATTTAATTGAAATAAAGAATTGACTTAAAATAAAGGTTTCTCTAAAAATAAATGTTTTTTTAATAAATTCCTCTAAAAATAAAGATGTATCTAATAATAATGATTCCTGTGGAAAAAAAACAAGACTTCTCGAAAAACAAAGATTCCTCTAAAAATAAAGGTTTCTCTAAAAATAAATATTACCCGTAAAATAAAGATTGCTTTAAAAGTAAAGATTTTTCTAAAATGAAGATCCCTTAAAAAAAATTAAAATTCTTCTTAAAATAAAGGCTCTTCAAAAAATAAAGACCTCTTTCAAAATAAAAATTCCTCTGAAAATAATGATTACTCTAAAAAAAAAACCATTCCCATAGTAGTAAAGATTGTTTAAAAATTTGGTTCTTACAATTACATTCAGGACCAGAATATTTTAGAAAAAGCCAATGAAACAGAGTGATTGATGTTGGTATTCTAAAAATATTTACAAAAAAAAAAATTGTTTTATTGTTTACCATTCTAAAAGGCCTTATACTCAAGCCAAGTAATTTAAAATATATTTTAAAAAAAGATAAGTAGGTATATTATAAAAATCCTCAAGTAAAATGAAAACAAATGATTTATTCCACCTCATCCATAACAGTTATAAACTCTAGGAAAATGTTGGACTACCAGCATTAACAACGTCCCTCTGTCTACTCTGAGGCGTGGACCCAGGCATGCTGTGACGTCTGCTAGCGGCGTCATCTCCCACCAGCAGGCCTGACTTGGGCGTGTAGTGGGACACGCGTCTGCTGGTGACCGCCAGGTCGACGTCGTCGTCGCTGGATACGGCTTGGTTCAACTTGAGACATTTCTCTCCCAGGGCCTGGGTCAGGCTTAAGCTTTTACAGGCCACGGCAGTGACGTCATTGTCTGAAATAGGAGTCATTCTTAATCAAGTGGGTAGAAGAACATGGTACCTGTCTACTCTATTTAGGATCATTGTCTGAAATAGGTGCCATCTTTAATCATACACGCCACGGCAGTGACGTCATTGTCTGAAATAGGTGCCATTCTTAATCAAGTGGGGAGAAGAACATTGTACCTGTCTAGTATCAGATTTATTTTTATTAATTTCTAAAAATTGATAGAATAAAGTAGACCTATGACATAGAAAATGTTTAATTATTGAAACTTTGATTTTAGTATTGATAACAAACTTATAAGTTAAAAAAAAAATTATGAATAACAGTCTATGATTTCTTGAATTAAATATTACACAAAAAATGTAGACAAGGTAAATCTTCAATGTTTTGGAATTATTCTTGAAGATGTTCCACGACTTGAGCTGCGCAACACATGATAAAATCGCTAAACTTTCAGTAGTTTAATTAAGATAATTAATATTTTCTTAATTTGACCACTAAAGTTATCTCTGGGTTCACTACTGCGATAGATTGTAATCACTGACGAGGAGCCACCTTGGTTGTTAACAGTCTTTAATTTACAGCCATGAAGGAAAGAGGAAGAGGAAGTACGATATACAAGGGACATCACTCAAGATAACAATATAAATATAATACTAATACAGAAGAGTGAGTTCCCTTGACCTCACAATTATCTCAATCTATTACATCCCTTTACCCTTAGAACACAATAACACATCTCTCAATAGAACAATTGATAGTATCCTAAAATCACCAATTATATTGTAACATGAACACTATGGTAGATTACATCCTTACAAACAATGCATAATATGTTACAACACAATTAAAATACAAACAATGATGTCAAAGTCCTTTTGACCTTTAAAATCATAGGTCTAACTTATTTGGGACTTTGATTGTCCTGTTTGACCTTCTCAGTAGCTTTTGATTTGGTGACTCAATATTCTGACCATTTGGATTCTCTATCTCAGGAGGTCTAGGATTTAAATCATTAACTCCAGCATTTACATTTTCTGACTCTAGACAACTTGGTTCACTCATATCAACAGAACTTGGTTGTGGAACAAACTGAGTTGGTGTGAACTGTTCAGATTTGGTGGGATTGACAGATTCACACTTATTATCTGCACAAGTTATTTTTAACTTTATAAGACACAGGTCCTGTACATTGAACAATTTGACCTGGTATCCATTTTTCCTTTCTCCCATAATTTCTTAGATACACATTATCATTAACACCAAATTCTCTTTCAATGCATGTTTTGTCATGATTTAATGGAACTATTTTTGAATTGGCATCTGGAAGTATTATGCTGTTATTCAGATCCTTGACTGACATAGATTTCTTTGATTGATCAATTTTCCTCAGGTAATCTGATAGTGCTTTTTGGTAACCAAAAATACTGTTTAAAAGTAATATCCTGGACCATATCACTTTGCAACTGTGATCCAGTATTTGAAGTGGGTGTATTAAATGGCAAAAATCTTTTTCTTCTTTTGATGTTACCCTTTTAGTTTCTGTAAGTGCTAATGATGTTAGCAAAGTTGTTTGATGATCACATTCCTTCTTATTTAAAGCATTTGAAATTGCCATATCACCATAATCATTTATTAAATTACAAATACTTTGTTTAGGCAACTCTGACTGATAATGGACTGCATCTTCTCCATCTTTTATATTATCTTCATAAAGGTTTTTATTTCTTATTTAATATGGCCTTAAGTCATCATTCACAGACTCTTCAGGCCAACCATTCTTACAGTACTCATATACTTTTATTAAGCACTCATCTTTTGTGTTTCTCTTTTAACATCATTCACATTAACATCATTCACATTTATATTGGAGTTATCCATGATAGTGAAGAGAACAAATACATCTTCTGGTACATAGCTCAGGCTTTGGTTTTTTAAAGGTAATCTACTAAGACTATCTGCACTATTCTCAGATCCAGGTTTGTATTTCAATTCATAATTGTATGCAGTTAGTGTGATAGCCCATCTTTGAATTCCTGGTGAGGCATGCTCAGGTAGGGTTTTGTTTTCTCCAAATAAACCTAGCAATGGTTTATGATCTGTAAAGATGGTGAACTTCCTACCAAACAGAAACTTATGAAATTTCTTAACACCAAAAATGATGCCTAAGCCTTCCCTATCTAACTGAGAATAATTTTTCTCAGCCTGGTTCAAAGATCTACTGGCAAAAGCAATGGGTCTGTCACCCTTCTCATCTATGTGGGACAAGACTGCTCCTACACCATCTGGTGAAGCATCACATGTTAATATAAGTCTTTTCCCTGGGTCATATCTCTATTACAACTACATCCTTTGTGTGAACCTATATTGAATCGGTAAAACTTGAGTTCAATGCAGAACCTCTATGTTTAGCATAGCAACAGAGACATGAACTCTATTCATCTGTTTAAATTTAATGGCTAACAGTAGACTAAAACTTTACTTCCATAATTTGTTCCCTTCCCCAACTGCAAACAAATTTCAATGCACTGGTTACATTCCTATTTATTACTTTTCCTTACATAAATCGATTATTTAATTAGAATTTATCAAATATACCATCTGTTAGAAGACTGAATTCATACCATTGGGAACAGCATCTGTTATATTGTATTCGTCAGGTGAAGATAAATCTGAGAGTTTGTTGTTCCACTCTTCTGGTGGGGCAGGTAGGTCTTCCAGCAATTCTCGTCTGTCAAAAAAAAAACAGAATTATAAACAGAAAAGGGAAAAAATAAACGAAAGTGTGTGTTTAAATAGAATATATGGTGAATAGTAAATTAATTTCAATTGATTTTAATTGATTTGTTTCGGTTATTAGTGAATATGTGAAATATAGTAAAAGATGGGTTTTCTCCCTTTGACCATGTTTGGTTTTGATACCAACGAGGATATTAAAGGGAAATAACCAATGTAAAATGAAACAAATCTCTTCAATTTGGAGACAAAATGATGAACGAAGATAAATGGTATTAGAGAGTGATGTAAAATTCTAACCCAAACATTGGAAATTCTTGTTCAGATTATTTTTATCAGCAGGAAAAAAATATATTGTAAAATAGATTTTGGCATAAGAAGATTGTAAATGATGTACAGTATGGAAATAATGTCCTTAATGTTGATAGAAGTGGTGGATACGTAAAATTTAGTAATTAATAGATTGTCTCTGTTATTACTTTCTCGTATATACGAAGTATAGAGCTTGTCTCTTTCCCCTCATCTTTCACACTGCAACCTTTTGAAAACTCAATGCGACCACTACAACACCCTTTCAACTAGTCAACTTCAGTTGTTTCCCTACATAGAAAATGCTTCACTGTCCCATTGACCCTCTCTGAAAAATGTCCTTTCCTCTCCCCACCCAGACTTCTGACACTTTCATTTGACCTTCACCCCTTTTACTGTCATCCTTTGCAATTTTTTTTTTTTTTTTTTTTTTTTTTTTTTTTTTATAATCAAATACATGACATCATGTAAATATTCACTATGTACATTTGCAAAACCTTTCGTTTTCATTTGGTGTTCAAAATTATGTTAAACAATTTGATGTTGATGTACTTTTTTTAATTGCAAATAAAAGTATTAAAAAAAAAAAAAAAGAAAAAAGAAAATACGAAGTATAGAGAAAGTATTGTAATCGTGCACAAAAATCACTTGAAATTTTAACAATTTTCACCGTATTACACCTCAGTCCTTCATCACATCCGAAGTATAGAGGACTTATTTTAATCAGGTAAAAAATATCAATCCAGATTTATCAAAATTAAGAGGTTTTATGCGTAATCCAGTCTGAAAAACTGGGCTTTGCAATTCTGCCCGTATGTCTGTCTGTCTGTCTGTCTGTCTGTGTGTCTGTGTGTGTGTGTGTAAACACGATAACTTGAGTACCGTTACAGCTAGGTTGATGAAATTTCATATATAAGTATTTTATCAAAATCGTAAATCCGTATCAACTTTTGAGCGATTTCCGATAACCGGAAGTGGTATTTTTTCTACTTTGAATTTTTCAAAAGCCTATAACTTGAGTACTATTTTAGATAGATAAATGAAATTTCACATGTAAGTATAAGATCTAATTCTCTACATTCTGTTAAATTTTGAGTAATTTCCGTTGACCGGAAGTAGTAATTTACGCTACTTCCGATTTCTAAAAAAACTAATGTAAATTTTTAAAGTACTAATAATATTGCGCGCTATTATGCACTTTTTTTTTTATTTGGCGTTCACTTGGTGTGAAATTCTTTTATCTACGAGATTTTATTCTATTTTTAAAACTTTAAGTATTTAAAATGGATTAAAAATCATGTCTATAGCCCGAGTTCCCATCCCCTGTTTTTTATATAAGAATATTGGAGAAAGTTTAGGGGAGATCACTCACGGTTTATTATACAAGCTTTCTAGATATAGAAACTGAAATAACACAGAACAACTGAGGACTGAGGACATCTCAAGAAATATCGAACAAAAATTGCTAAAAAGAAATCCGCTTAATAAAAGGTGTAAAACGTGTCATTAAAAAAAAAGAATTGTAAAAATGAGGATGGACAAAATATGTGAAAATGTTGAGCCACTAAAAGATGTGAAAATGTGAGCCACTAAAAAGAATCTGTGTTTTTTCCAGACTTTTTTCTCCGGGGGGGGGGGGGGGCACATGAACTTTTCGGGGGGGGGGGGGGGGTGGACACTAGTAAAAGTGTATGTTTATTATATAAAATCCCCCCCCCTCCCCACCGAAGAGATGCATGAAAGAAACTCTGAAAAAGATGTGAAAATACTGAGCCACTAAAAAGATGTGAAAATGTTGAGCCACTAAAAAGATGTGAAAATCTTGAGCCACTAAAAAGATATAAAAATGTTGGGCCATTAAAAAGATGTGAAAAAAATTGAGCCACTAAAAATATATGAAAATGGTTACACACCTCTCAGAATCACTGCGAGATTTCGTGTCTTGTGAGCTGGCCCTCGTTGATTTAACCACCTCAAGCTCGTCCTGGATGACGCGCTGCTGGACTTGGATTTGTTCAACATTCTGTGCTAATGAACTCAGTTGGTCCTGAAAGGGTTAAGTTGTTTTGTTTTTAATTATATTGATCTTAATATTTTTTCTTGAAACCGTTTTTCCGTTTTTAAATTTTTGGTTGTTTTTTTGTTTTTGTTTTTGTTTTTTTTTTGTTTTTTTTTTCTTTTTTTTTTTTTTTTTTTTGTAAATGGTGTTATATTTAAAGTATTATTTTAAACAGAAATGCATTTTTAAATGTTTTATCATTGAAACCATCTTGGCATCTAGTAGGCCCCGCCTCATGTATAAGTTAAAATGCCCTACCATGCAATAAATTTCTGACCTGAATGGCTTACCATACACACACCTTTATGTGATGTATGCTGCCAGTTTGATCGTCCATCTAAGCTACAATTGTATGTGACACACTTTATAACCCTAATGGCCAATCATGCACCCATATTTTACCCCCAAATGAGAATATATCTGACATAAACGATATACCATACATTGTCGACTATGACAAAATAACTGACACAAGCGGACTCTCATACACCCACCTGTTTTTTTTTGTTTTTGTTTTTTAAACTAAAAAAATAACTGACACAAACGATGTACCATACACCCACTTTTAAAAAAAAAATAACAAAAATCTGACACAAGCGGGCTCCCATACACCCACCTTTATGTAATGTATACTGGCCGTCAGATCGTCCAGCTGTTTCTGCTGTTGCTGCTGCAGCTGTTTGCTGTTGCTCGCCTCGCCCTCCTCCTTGTCCTGGATCTTGCCCAGCTCCTGCAGGGCAGCCTGGAAGCTTTTCTTCATCTCCAGGACCATGTCCTGCAACTGACCACCACAGACCGGACGTTATAGTTTAGGACCACACCGTAAAGGTTAAAGTAATATAATAGAGAACTAGGGGCCGGCGTAGACGGTATCATGGTATCGACTTAAAAGCGTGGTCGAGCGATAGAACTGAACTCGAATCTGTAAAGAGGCGTTCATGACTTGTCTAGCCCTCACCTCACCCTTCTCAGAAATGCCAGCGCTAACGCCATTGGACATGTGGACACAAAAAACGCTATTGTAAAAATTCTTGTTGAAATAACAAAAGCGGGTTTTTAGTATTGGAATTGAAAAAAAAAAACATGGGTGTGTCTGAAATTAAACTGGACAAGAATTTAATCTGTGACCCCCCCCCCCCCCCTCCCCATCTCTTCCGCATTACCGTTATTCTGTATTTGACAACGACCATACAGTTTTGAGGCTATGAACTTCCCACAGTTACAATTCGGGAAAGTATTTTGGGTTCGGATTAACGGTCGCAGACAGTCAAGTTTACTGTGACGTTGGCGCGAACATTTGAGGTCGCAAACAGCTAAGTGTTACATTACAATTTAAGTTTGGTTGCAATCCATGTGTTGAGTTGGCCTTAAGGTTGTGTTCAAATTCACTGATTTCTTTTTTCTAAACATCATGCGCGTTTGATATTTTCGGGGACGCGGACTAAATTTTTCGGAGGGGGGGGGGGGGGACGGACGGACACTGGTAAAAGTATTTTTTCTATATAAATTCCATCTCTTTTGGGGGGTGCGGGGGGGGGGGCGGTAGACTTTCTTCACCCCCCCCCCCCCCCAAAGAGTTTCCTAATCATCATGCGCACTTAATATTTTTGGGGAGGCGGACTAAATTTTCCGGGAGGGAGGGGGGGGGGGGAGTCGACACTGATCAAAGTATGTTTTCTATATAAATTTCATTTTCGTTCGGGGTGGGGGGGGGGGGCGGTAGACTCTCTTCACCACCCACCCCCCCCCCCCCTCCCCACCCTATCCCAGAGAGATTCCTGGAAGAAACTCTGCTTGACATCTTTTTCTAAACTCCAAAAAAAAAACCTCCAAAAAAGTACATTTGAAGTATTCCAACATGACCACCTGTTCAGGAGACATGCGCAGTTCTCGCTATGCGTATCCTCGCAAGCAAATTGTCCGCCCGTCAGTACACAAGATGGCGCCGGGCCGCAGATGGCGCAGCTATTTATCGAAAGCTCACGTGGAATGCTGTGTTCCCCTTTCATAATCCTGAGATGCTTTATTGAAAACATTGCGTAACGTTGAATGGGAGGGGGCGAGGGGGGGGGGGGGGGGGGGCGAGGGGGGGGGGGCGAGAAAAACCTGAAAGAGAGAGAGTGAAAGGAGAGAAGAAAGGACATCGATTTTTTTCGCCATGGGGGGTTTATCTTTGAAAAACAGTGAGGTAATTTTTTAATGGGTGAAGGATGAAATGCCTCGAGTGCCGGAGTGAATGAAATCTTAGAGTGAGCGGCGTAGCGAGGGTTTTTTGAAGGCTGGAGATTCAAGTTTTAAATACCCGACATTCAACGCTTTGTTGTTTGTTTTTTGTGAAATATTACAGATGGCGAATTACTAACAATAGGTCAAGTGTGGAGCCAAGAGAGTGGCTCAAATATTCATCAGCGACTAATTGCAAAATATTTGTCGGTGGACGGTACATAATTAATGTCTTTGAGTGACCCTCATCAAAGTTAAGGCATTCAATAAGCAGAGAGCAATGATAATTAAGTATAGGGGTGGAGGGATGGGTTGGGAAATTCTGCAATTGGTAAGTTTACGCAAAGTACCCTTACAGTCCATGGGGCAAGTGAAGTAGAATTCACCTGATTTAGTGACCTCGGCATATAAAGGGATAGTGAGGTCAGCACTGTGCCCAGCCGCCTTTACTTTCCCTAATGTGAGTTAGGTACTCATCAGAGCTGGGTGGACTCAAGGACGTGCTACGGGATCCGAACTCGAGATTTTCAGCCGAACGCTCCCAATAGATATGTTTACTAGATGCCTTGTTGCAGTTTCATCAGCTATACGAGTCGGGTACAAAGAATAAGTTATTAAGTCAACACGGGATAAAACATTGGGCAGTTACTATTTGGAATACAATTGCCAACACCACCCCACGTTCTATTTTTTCTATTTAAAATATTTTCGAAGGAAAAAATTGTCAAAAACGCGAAACGTCTGGACGCATAGTAAAGATTCCTTTTTAGACATAGTAGACCATTGGGCAGATGAAGTAGAGTTCATGTTTCAAGACCTCGGCATATGAAGGGAAGGTGTGGTCAGCATTTTGCCCAGGCGCATTTATTTTCACAAACATGTGTTTGGTACCCATCAGAGCTGGGTGGAATAGCGACGTTTTACTGACTTGGACCCGGATTCGAACTTGTGACTTTCGGGTTAAGCAGAATATTTTTATTCTCGTTAACTACAGGATAACTATGATGTTCAAAACTAGCCTACCATAATTAGTTGTTCGTCAGCCAGAGTTTCTTTGTCTCCTGCCAGATTAGCCGCATCTGGATTTCAAAATAGAAAAAAAAAATTAGAGATGGATTGGGAAAACAAAACCAACAAAATTAGAGATGGATTGGGAAAACGAAACCAACAAAAATTATAGAATGATTGGGAAAATAAAACCAACAAAATTAGAATTGGATTGGGAAACAAAACCAACAAAATTAGAGATGGGTTGACACCAAAAAAAAAAACCTTTCAAACACAACATAAAATTAGGTACAATTCAAAAACGTGTACAAAAGATTGTGTTTAATATTTTAATAACAGCAAACAATTCTCTGGCTGAGCAATATAATATAAATTGAACTTTTATTTTCCCGTAAGAATACGATTAGGGTCAGAGTTAGTGTTTATGTATAGAGTTAGGATCAGGGTTAGGGTGGCAATACCAGTACACACAAAAATAACTTCAACAGGACTCGCCACTGTAATCAAATCCAAATTTTTTAAAGTGGTTTTAAAATATTTTAAAACATGTAAAAAGTTAAAAAGTAGAGTTCCCCTTTCCAAACCTGATATTCTATGAGGCAAGTGAAGTAGAATTCCCCTGTTTTTTGTGACTTCGGCATATGAAGAGATAGTGTGGTAAGCACTTGGGTACCCATCAGAGCCGGGTGGACTCAGTGACGGTCTACTGACTTGAACCCAGATTCGAGCCTGAGACTTATGGGTTAGCAGTCTAGCTCTCTACCGCTTTTAAAAGCTCGTTATGAGAAGATAACGACTAACCAGTGAAAGAGATTCACACCAAGCGGTCAATGACCGGTCCCAAAACTCAGATTTTGACCCGACTCGAACCAGATTTACGAATTTTTAAACTACCCCTTGACCACCTCTGAAGCTGCTGGGCACGAAAAATTACTAGTCGTGTCAAGCCGTTTTTATTTAATCCTAACCCAAACTGGTTCAACTTAAAAATATCTATACTGGTCTACTCCGCTACTACTAATGGACACCATCTGGTACCTTCAAACGGAATTGTACTAAGAACACCTTGTTTCCATTTTAGTTCAGTCTCCCTCAAAGCTTCATGTGATTATAATTAAGCTGAGCAGAGCAAATTGGTACCCCTAAACGGAAATGTACCATTTTGTACTCTTACCTCCCACGACGCTTCCCATGTCTAAAATAGCTTGTGAAGACATCCTTAAATGTAGCCTGTAGCCACATTGCTACATTCTTCGCCTATAATTGTCAATCACTTCCCACGTAAAAACCTCCCCAAGAAAAAAGGGGGAGGGGGTGAGAAATAGTTTTTTTCCCGAAAATGGCAGTTGTTCGGTCGACGGAGGGCATTCTTCGCGCCGTAACGGCGGGGCGCGATGTTTACCTCGAGCTGTTTAAGGCAACAAAATATTGTGCTAAGTGTTAGAGATCTGCTCATGTCCGGTCAGCAAGCGAGGGCGACAAATGAGGGGGTGACAAACGAGGGGGCGACACGACGGAAACAAACGCCGTCAAGTTACTATAGTAGGCAAGATTTACAACCTATTTTTTTAAATATGTTATACTGTGATGGTATGGCCAGCCCCATTTACAGCCGCCTTTGCTTACCCGCCATCCTAGTCAGGTACGACCTGATGCCAGAACTGGCTGGAATCCACGGGCTTTAGACGAGATCCAAACTCGTGCCTTTCGGGTCAGGAATGGTGCGAATTACACCCCTGGTCGTCAGTCATCAACCCAACCCTATCACCATCACCAACCATAACAACATCCCCAACCCTACCAACATCGCCAACCCTACCAACATCACCAACCCTACCAACATCCCCAACCCTACCAACATCCCCAACCCTACCAACATCCCCAGCTATACCAACCCTACCAACACCCCCAACCCTACCAACATCCCCAGCCCTACCAACATCCCTAACCCTACCAACATCCCCAACCCTACCAACATCCCCAACCCTACCAACATCACCAACCCTACCAACATCCCCAACACACCCAACCCTACCAACATCCCCAACCCTACCAACATCACCAACATCCCCAACCCTACCAACATCCCCAACCCTACCAACATCCCCAACCCTACCAACATCCCCAACACACCCAACCCTACCAACATCCCCAACCCTACCAAACACCCAACCCTACCAACATCCCCCAACCCTACCAACATCCCCAACCCTACCAACACCCCCAACCCTACCAACCCTACCAACATCCCCAACCCTACCAACATCCCCAACCCTACCAACATCCCCAACCCTACCAACATCCCCAACCCTACCACATCCCCAACCCTACCAACACCCCCAACCCTACCAACCCTACCAACATCCCCAACCCTACCAACATCCCCAACCCTACCAACATCCCCAACCCTACCAACCTACCCAGCTACCAACATCCCCCAACCCTACCAACATCCCCAACCCTACCAACATCCCCAACCCTACCAACATCCCCACCCTACCAACATCCCCAACCCTACCAACATCCCCAACCCCTACCAACCTACCCCAGCTACCAACATCCCCAACCCTACCAACATCCCCAACCCCTACCAACATCCCCAACCCTACCAACATCCCCAACCCTACCAACACCCCAACCCTACCAACATCCCCAACCCTACCAACATCCCCAACCCTACCCAACATCCCCAACCCTACCAACCTCCCCAACCCTACCAACATCCCCAACCCTACCAACATCCCCAACCCTACCAACATCCCCAACCCGACCAACATCCCCAACCCTACCAACATCCCCAACCCTACCAACCATCCCCAACCTACCACCTCCCCAACCAACATCCCCAACCCTACCAACATCCCCAACCCTACCAACATCCCCAACCCTACCAACATCCCCAACCCTACCAACATCCCCAACCCTACCAACATCCCCAACCCTACCAACATCCCCAACCCTACCAACATCCCCAACCCTACCAACCTACCCAGCTACCAACATCCCCCAACCCTACCAACATCCCCAACCCTACCAACATCCCCAACCCTACCAACATCCCCAACCCTACCAACATCCCCAACCCTACCAACCTCCCACCTACCAACATCCCCCAACCCTACCAACATCCCCAACCCTACCAACATCCCCAACCCTACCAACATCCCCAACCTACCAACATCCCCAACCCTACCAACATCCCCAACCCTACCAACATCCCCAACCCTACCAACATCCCCAACCCTACCAACATCCCCAACCCTACCAACATCCCCAACCCTACCAACATCCCCAACCCTACCAACATCCCCAACCCTACCAACATCCCAACCCTACCAACATCCCCAACCCTACCAACATCCCCAACCCTACCAACATCCCCAACCCTACCAACATCCCCAACCCTACCAACATCCCCAACCCTACCAACATCCCCAACCCTACCAACATCCCACCCTACCAACATCCCAACCCTACCAACATCCCCAACCCTACCAACATCCCCAACCCTACCAACATCCCCAACCCTACCAACATCCCCAACCCTACCACCATCCCCAACCCTACCAACATCCCCAACCCTACCCCAACCAACATCCCCAACCCTACCAACATCCCCCAACCCCTACCAACATCCCCAACCCTACCAACATCCCCAACCCTACCAACATCCCCAACCCTACCAACCCTACCAACATCCCCAACCCTACCAACATCCCCAACCCTACCAACATCCCCAACCCTACCAACATCCCCAACCCTACCAACATCCCCAACCCTACCAACATCCCCAACCCTACCAACCTACCCAGCTACCAACATCCCCCAACCCTACCAACAATCCCCAACCCTACCAACATCCCCAACCCTACCAACCTACCCAGCTACCAACATCCCCAACCCTACCAAACATCCCAACCCTACCAACATCCCAACCCTACCAACATCCCCAACCCTACCAACATCCCCAACCCTACCAACATCCCCAACCCTACCAACATCCCCAACCCTACCAACATCCCCAACCCTACCAACATCCCCAACCCTACCAACATCCCCAACCCTACCAACCCTACCAACATCCCCAACCCTACCAACATCCCCAACCCTACCAACATCCCCAACCCTACCAACATCCCCAACCCTACCAACATCCCCAACCCTACCAACATCCCCAACCCTACCAACCTACCCAGCTACCAACATCCCCCAACCCTACCAACATCCCCAACCCTACCAACATCCCCAACCCTACCAACATCCCCAACCCTACCAACATCCCCAACCCTACCAACATCCCCAACCCTACCAACATCCCCAACCCTACCAACACCCCCAACCCTACCAACCCTACCAACATCCCCAACCCTACCAACATCCCCAACCCTACCAACATCCCAACCCTACCAACATCCCCAACCCTACCAACATCCCCCAACCCTACCAACATCCCAACCCTACCAACATCCCCAACCCTACCAACATCCCAACCCTACCAACATCCCCAACCCTACCAACATCACCAACCCTACTAACATCCCCAAACCTACCAACATCCCCAACCCTACCAACATCCCCAACCCTACCAACATCCCCAGCCCTACCAACATCCCTAACCCTACCAACATCCCCAACCTCTGGACCCAACCCTACCAACATCCCCAACCCTACCAACATCCCCAACCCCTACCAACATCCCCAACCCTACCAACATCCCCAACCCTACCAACATCACCAACCATACCAACACCCCCAACCCTACCAACCCTACCAACATCCCCAACCCTACCAACATCCCCAACCCTACCAACATCCCCAACCCTACCAACCCTACCAACATCCCCCAACCCTACCAACATCCCCAACCCTACCAACATCCCCAACCCTACCAACATCCCAACCCTACCAACATCCCAACCCTACCAACATCCCCAACCCTACCAACATCCCAACCCTACCAACATCCCCAACCCTACCAACATCACCAACCCTACTAACATCCCCAAACCTACCCAACATCCCCAACCCTACCAACATCCCCAACCCTACCAACATCCCCAGCCCTACCAAC